CCTGTAAGCGGGGCAAAAACGGATGGAAATTGTGCATAACATGAAAGCTAAAACATATGGCACATACTGTGCAACGTGATTGGACAAAGTCCAAGCAAACATGGCATCTCTGCATAAGTGACAGGACGCAGATACAAAACTCCAACTGAGTCCAAGGTCGCGGTACATTTATAGAAACTGTTCTGTCGTATTGGGTCAAGGACATGATATTGCTTGGGTTATAAGTCATTAGACTGTCTGGGAAAGGAGAGACAACCAAATGTTGTGTAGTTTTTTTAAACAGAAACATGGACACACTGTGTAGCAAAAATGAAGCCAAGCAAGAAACAAAATGAGTGAAAATGAATTAAGCTTTCTGTTACTTACTCCCTACCTATCTCCATCAATATCTAAAATTGTCTTCTATATGAAACCTGACTAGACCAGTACTACAGTTCAGTCCGCCATGCAAGTGTGCTGATTATGTAATACTTCCGCAGTATTACAAAATCACTCCCGTCAAAGGGACCATAAATAGGACAGGTAGGTACACAAGCCCCTGCCCGTATAACTGTTACAAACTGAGGTACATACATGTATACCACATTGTGTACCTGACAAGACGCTAACAGACAAACACGATCGCTACCGTTCAAATGTACCAACCGTCTAACCCCTTTTTCCCCTTAGTTTGCGAGGAATTTAGGAGACCTGACACATGTTTGCCTTTCTCTCAACAATACATACAACAATTACAAAAGACTTTTGAGCACTAGCAATTTGTTTTACAGCTATACAAAACCAGAGCACCTACTGACATTCTAAACTGTCCAGCATCTTGATAGTCTATATGATCCTGGAAAATAACAGAAATTGGCCAAAAATACTTAAGATACAAGACTGGAATACAATTTGCAAATCATGGATTCTGAAAATACTCTATGGTCAGCTATCTTCTCTGGCATATTATTTTATTATTTAGTGTATTTGGCCAATTTTTACAATTTTAAATAACTTCTTTCTGTTAATGGCTTTTCAATTATATTACCTGTCTGAAGAAAAAGAATGATGTTCTTTGAACCCAGGTCTGGGAGAAATGGTAGGGTGTGGCTGGCTTCAAGCTAACAAACTCAATTATCACATGTATTTTATCCTATTACTAGGATGACCAGTCAGCACATCAGACTAGATTTACAAAAATGACTTTTCGATCCAAAATGAGCTTAAGAAATGAGCACTTTGAAGCCTGCTAAATTATTGATATTCCAAATTCAGGAGAGGCCTCTGGATCTGCCAAAAATAATTCATTGCTTTCAGTTAATTCTCTTACATGCATAACAAAATCTCTATGAATAAGTCTTTGCTGATGTTTAAATCATTATGTGTTGTTCTCAGTATACAGCAGTTAAGATCTGTCCTCAAGCAAAATTCAACCTGTTTCGAACAAATTTCCCATTTTCTGCTCCTAGGTTTCTGTGAAATTCTTTGAACCCTGACTGCAAATATACAGTATATAATAGTAAGTATATACATATACTAAATGTTTTCATGTGAATGGAAAAAAAAAACATGTCACTCA